GCCTATGACAAGGTTAAATGGTCTTTTGTACAACAGACGCTCAGAATGAAAGGTTTCTCTCCTAAATGGTGTGAGTGGATAACTTCTTTTATTCAAGGGGGACATGTTGGTATTAGAGTAAATGATCAGACCGGTAATAATTTTCAAACTTACAAAGGTCTAAGGCAAGGAGATCCTTTATCTCCAATTCTTTTTAATATAGTAGCAGATATGCTTACCTTATTAATTAAGAGGGCTAAAGATGCTGGTTCATTGAATAGGGTAGTCCCTCACCTAGTGGATGATGGTTTATCTATTTTACAGTATGCAGATGATACCATCATATGTTTGGAACATGACTTACAACAAGCGAAGAATCTTAAATTGATTTTATCTGTGTTTGAAAAGTTGTCTGTCTTGAAAATAAATTTTCATAAGAGTGAATTATTTTGTTTTGGTCAGGCAAAGGAATATTATGATGAGTATTCTAACATCTTTGGTTGTAAGTTTGGCTCTCCCTGTTAAATATCTTGGTATACCAATGCATGTTAGAAAACTGAATAATAGAGATTGGAAAATGATTGAGAAAAGAATTGAGAAAAAACTTAGTAGTTGGAAAGGAAAACATTTATCTGTTGGGGGTAGACTGGTTTTGATTAACTCTGTACTTTCAAGTTTAGCTATGTTTATGATATCTTTTTTTGAGATACCAAAGGGGTTCTTCAAAAAATTGATTATTATAAATCACGGTTCTTTTGGCAAGGAGATGACCATAAAAAAAAGTATAGACTTACTAGATGGGATATCATTTGTCAACCTAAGGATCAGGAAGGTTTAGGGGTTCATAACTTGGAAATACAAAACAAGTGTCTCTTGAGTAAGTGGTTGTTTAAGTTGATTAACGAGGAAAGTGTATGGCAAAATCTATTGAAGAGAAAGTATCTCTACAATCAGTCTATAACCCAAGTGAATAAGAAACAGGGCGGTTCTCATTTTTGGTCAGGTCTCATGAAAGTCAAAGATACCTTCTTAGATATGGGTTCTTGGATTGTAAATAATGAGAAACAAATAAGGTTCTGGGAAGATAAATGGCTAGGAAACCTGGCTTTTAAAGACAAATATCCATCTTTATACTCTATTGTCCGAAGGAAAAGTTCTACTATTGCTAATGTTATGAGATCTGTTCCACTCAATGTTTCCTTTAGGAGATCATTAGTTGGTCAGAATCTTGCATATTGGCATGAATTGTGTGCTTCTATTGTACATATTCAATTGAATCAATCCTCTGATAGCTTTAGATGGAATTATCATCAGAATGGAATATTTTCTATTAGGTCGATGTATCTAGCTTTAATTAATAATGGTTATATTTAGAGAAACAAGATTATTTGGAAGCTTAAGATGCCACTTAAGATTAAGATTTTTATGTGGTACTTGCTTAAAGGGGTTGTGCTAACCAAGGATAATTTGGCAAGACGAAATTGGAATGGCAGTTTAAGATATTTTTTAATGAAAAATGAGACTATTCAACATCTTTTTATAGAGTGTCATTATGCAAAATTTGTTTGGAGAGCAGTACAGTTCTCTCTTGGTTTATACCTTCCTACTACCATATCTAATATATTTGATGGTTGGCTCTTGGGGGTAGACAAGAAGAAGAGTAAACTCATACTTGTAGGAGCTTCTGCCATATGTTGGGCTCTGTGGTTGACTAGGAATGATATGGTTTTTGACAAATCACCATCTATCTCATATATGCAGGTAATTTTCAGGGCAACATATTGGCTCCGATTTTGGGCACAGCTGCAAATGTGTGAAGATGATCGAGAGCTTATGAAGGTTGCATGTCGTAGACTTGAGACAACGGTCATGCAACTCCTTGCAAACTATGGATGGAGATTCACAAATAGACTTGAATAAATGTGCTCTCCTTATCTTAGTTTGATCTTTTATTTTGTTGGGTGTGTTTAATTCATTTGAACTACACTCAGTGTTTGGGTGTTACTTTTATAATAATTGGCTGTAACTCTGATGAGTAAAGGCCGGGATGTTTTATTTCATTATCTAAAAAAACCAAGGGTTAATAAACCTAGAACAAGTTGGTGACTATTAGAGTGTTGACAATATAAAATTAGTTATATTATTAAATTTAACATTTAACATATATTTATAATATGTTTGTTCCGTATTGAAAATATTAATATATTTTTCTACAAACTTAGTTAAACGTATAAAATTTTGACTAAGAAAATATTCAAAAGATTTTTAATATGAAATGGAGCAAGCATGAGAGAGTTTATCAGTTCAGACAAAGAAAAAAAGGAAAAAAAAACATTGTTCAGTCGGCGGCCATCTCCTTCCTGATGTCGTCCAGGAGATCGTCCCTGTACTCGGCGAACGTGCCGTCGTACGGCCTCACCGTGCCGTCCTGCACCACCCACAGCGCGCTCCTCTCCTCGTCGTCGCAGACGCGGGACACCAGCCTCGAGTCATGGCTGACGATGACCACGCCGCCGGCGAACTCGTCGAGCGCGTCCGCCAGCGCGTCGATGTTCTGCATGTCGAGGTTGTTGGTCGGCTCGTCGAGCAGCAGCACGTGCGGCTCCCCGAGCGCGACGGAGGCGAGCGCGACGCGGGCCTTCTGCCCGCCGGAGAGCTTGCCGATGGTGGTGAGGTGGCTCTCCTTGGCCAGCCCGAACCTGGCGAGCTTGGCGCGCGCCTCCCATGGCTTGCTCTTCAGGTGGGGATGCGTGTCGAGACACTCTCGGTGACATTCTGGTGACATTGAGTCACTGACATGTGGGTCATGGGGGAATGTCACTGAATCTACGTCCGTGCTGCACGGGGCTCTTCTCCTCCGGCAGCGCGTCGCAGAAGTGCTGCGAGTAGAGCCCGATCCTCAGCTTGGGGTTCCTCCTCGCCTCGCCGCTCGTCGGCGTGAGCTCGCCGGCGAGGAGCTTGAGGAGGGTGGATTTCCCTGCCCCGTTGGGGCCGACGACGGCGACGCGCTGCCCCATGGAGACGTCGGCGTCGATGGCGGACAGCTGGAATCCGCCGCGGGTGAACCCGGCCTCGGCGAGGCGGAGGAGGGGCCCGCCGCCGGCGAGCTCGGTGGGCGCGGCGAAGTGGAACTCGACGGTGTAGTCGTGCCACTTCTTGGGCGCCCTCCGGCCGCTCTTCCGCGCCGCCTTGGCCAGCCTCTCGCTCTCCTTCATGGCCTTGGCCTTCTTCTGCTCGTAGCTGCCGACGAAGGAGTCGAAGCCGCCGCGGTAGGCGTGCAGCTTCTTGTCCTGGAGGTGCACGACCTCGTCGCAGATGGCGTTGAGGAAGCCCTCCTCGTGGGAGACGACGACGAGGGTGCTCTTGCACTGCGCGGTAAGGTACTCCTCCAGCCACAGGACGGCGCGGAGGTCGAGGTGGTTGGTGGGCTCGTCGAGGAGGAGGAGCGTTGGCTGCATGAAGAGCGCGCCGGCGAGCGCGATGCGCTTGATCCAGCCGCCGCTGAAGGAGCTCGCCGGCCGCGCCTGGCTCGCCTGGTCGAACCCCAGCCCGGCGAGGATCTTGGCCGCGCGCGCCGGGGCGGTGTCCCAGCCACGCTGCGTGAGCTCCTCGTACACCTCGGCGAGCCGGGCGCCGTTGGCGGCGGCGGCGGCGGAGGAGGCCTCGAGCTGGTCACGCTCGGCGCGCAGCGTGGCGAGCTCCTCGTCGGCGGCGAGCACCACCTCGATCACCGGGCGGGGGTCGCGGTTGTCGTCCTCCTGCACCACGAGCGTGACGCGGATGCCGCGCGGCACCGGGAGCTTCCTCCAGTGGAGGAGCTTGAGCAGGGTGGTCTTCCCCTTGCCGTTGGGCCCGACGAGGCCGTACCGCCGCCCGTGCGCGACGCGCAGCGACGCGCCCTCGAACAGCGCCACCCCCTGCACCCACACGTCGGAGTCCTCCACGACGACGTCCCTCACGTTGTCAGTCGCGGCGTCCGCGGTGGCGGCGGCGCCGCGTCCCAGGACGCGGCCGCCGATGGTGACGACGTACGAGTCAGGGTCGTCCCAGAGATTCGCCGCCGCCGCCGCCGCCTCGTGCTTGCGCCGCTCCTCCTTCTTCTTCGTCTTCACCTCCTTGCGCTGCGGCGGCGGCGGCGGCGCGGCGGCGTTGACGTCGACCGGCGCGAACGACGCCGCCCTCGGCGTGGCAGCGCCAGCGAGCTCGTCATCGTCGTCGTCGTCGGAAGGGGGGGAGATCGATCCCAGCTAGGTACGACGAGGGCTCGGAGTTCTTCGTGGGCCTCGATCTACCGGCCTTCGCCTTGGAATCCGGCGGCGCGGCGGCGGAGGGGTTGGGCTTGCGGGCGGCGTGTACCTTGTGCACCATTGTTTCGATCGTAAGTTCGTCGGTTTTCCTTTCGGCTCGGACTTCGGGGGATTTCGCGGGGCTCGGCTTTTGGTGTTCGCCTTGTCTGTCCCTACTATATCTACCGTCTCGCCTATTCAGATTCGTAACGAGTCTTCTCTGATTGGATTCACCAAACTGCTTCTTCACGGTAAGACGGTTATCGGTTTCATGAATTGAGAAAAAGGTTATCGCAAGTGATCAAGAGCGGAGGCAAGCCTATGACAACTAGGGCTTACAGCCCAAGCCCTAGGGTTGTCTTCAAAATCATGTATAAATTGTTTTAAATCACCATGTAGTTTTAAAAAAAAATCAACAACTTATTAGTTGAGCCTTAGCCTAGCCATACTCTTTAATAATTTCTAGCTTCGCCGCTGCACGCGATAATAGTGATACCCGCATGATAACCGGGCGGTTTTGTAAACCTTGCTGTGTCGCTATAATTTAAGAAAGTGGAACCGATGGATTATATATAGGTTTGGGCTACTGGATTGCGCGCACTTGGGCCAGCCTGAGCCTTCTTCGTTGGGCCATTGGCGGATTTGGGCCCATTACGGATTTGTAATGGGCCGGTGGAAAGCCCAAAAACGTGAGGTGTCCTTCACTCCGACCGTTACAGATAAGCCCCAGCGCCGTACGAGACGGCACAACACGACGGCCGCTCGCCGATCACACGCTGACGCGCACACACCGGCGATTTCTCAGCCGCAATCGCCATGGCCACCGCCACCGCCACCTCCCTCGCCTCCTCCGCCGCGCACCGCCGCCTCCCGCCCTCGCGCTCAGCCGCTAGCTCCATCCTGAGAGCCCCCAACCGGGGCCGCCTCTGCCCCGGCTCCCCGTCGGTGCTCCGCGCGTCGTCCTCGTCTCCGTCGTCTCCCCAGCCCACCGCCGGCGGTGATGAGGGGGAGGAGGAGGAGGAGGGGCGGAGGCTGTCGAAGCAGTCGTCGTGGGAGGCGAAGGACTCCGAGGGGGATGACTACCTCTACCGCCTCGGGAAGGAGGCCGACAACATGAACATCGCCGTCGGCGCGCGGAGCGGCATCGTCGACGACCTCTTCGTCGGCAACTTCCTCGGCAAAGACTGTACGCGCTCCAGCACTTGGATGCCCCGTTCGATCCAAATACCATCTTATAATAAAATGTCCTGAATTGTTTGGTTCCTGAACATGAGATTCTGTATACTAACTTCAGCAGTAGACGATCTTTCCTTGGTTACAGCTCTATATATATAGTTACTTGTGAAATGTGTTTGCAGCGGATATTGTGTTCGATTACCGGCAGAAAGCGACCAGGACGTTTGAGTACCTGCAAGGAGATTATTACATCGCACCCCTCTTCCTTGTGAGTGTAATTTTAGTTCATCTTCAGCTGATCTTTTTTTTTTTACTGCATCCTCGTACTTTTATGCTGTTCTAGGTACCTGATTGACAAAGATTTGACACTGCAGATTCGTTGTGGTGCAGGATAAAGTTGGTAAGCAATTTAATGTAGGAGGAAGCACATTGTTATAATCAGGTATCTCACTCTTACAGTTTGAAGAGACTACATCTTTCGTTTCACCTGCATAAACAGTGGCTACTGAAGTATCAGTGTCCTTCTGTATAAGAAACTGAACAAGTTATACAAAGGTGTAACAGTTGCCGAATAAGCTTACCACCATATACCAACAGTCCCTAGAGGCCTAGACTGAATATATATATTTTTGGGTCAAACTATCAAATAATGGCATGCAATGTTGGCAGCATGTGAAATATATGCAAATCTTACATTTACATTAATTGTGATTATGCTAAACTCTTCCTTAATAATATCTTGAACTTTTATATGGTATATATTCTTGTGGCTATAGTGTGCATGACAAATTTATTTTATTCTTTTTCTCCAGGCACACATACTAAAAGGACTGCTTGATGTTTGCAGCATGTCATATTGTGAAGAACTACCTTGCACATATTCTTACTATCAAGATTCCCCTTATACTTGGTAGTGCACTTCTCTTTGTTTCTCTCTGTGTAATTGGGATATGAAATAATACATGGTTGTAGTTCAATATTATTCTTTAGTTCGTTTTCAATATTTTTGAGGAACATTGCACAATGCAGGAATCTGGGGTGGAAAAGGCCAAGGGAAAACATTCCAGACTGAACTTATATTTAGAGCAATGGGTGTTGAACCTGTTATTATGTCTGCTGGAGAACTAGAATCTGAGAAAGCAGGTCAAAGACACTTGAATTTGTGCTTACTGTTTACATGCTTTATGTACTCTGCTATATTTTGCAAGGTTGCTATCAATGTGGTGCTCCGTAGATCATCAAAGGGTCTCACGTTCATTAGTTTCTCATGTGTGTTTCTGCTATTGTTGCAGGAGAACCTGGGAGGCTTATACGTGACCGATACAGGACGGCTTCTCAAGTAATTCAAAACCAAGTAAGCAGGTGTTTTCGGCTACTCAGTTTCAGATATGTACCTTCAAATTCAGTTCTCAGTTTTGAGCACAAAACAAAATAATGTCTCAATTTTTAAAACTTGAGTGTTATTTCACCTGTTTGAGTTTTTTTTTTTTGGTATGTGTGGAAAGCTCCAGTATCTGACTAGCTTCGTAATTGACACTTGAAATCATAAAAAAAGATTGTCGAAAATTCTATTACTACTGTCACTCAGTTCTGAATATGGCAAAAATGCTCCTTACATATTTTAGTTTTCTATTACCATCTTTTCAAACAGCTGATTCAATATTTGGTGTTTCCTTTTTCTTTTTTATACATCAAGATAGCGCAAATGTTCCTGAATGACTTGATGCTTGTCCGTTATGAGAAATACAAGTGCTCTCAACTCTGTAGTGCTTTACTCTTCTGTGTTATTACTGTATTATCATGATAAAGTTAACAGATTAATGATGCCTGTGGGTTTTGTTAATTTTCAGTTTACTTCAATGATTCCTGTTTTCACAATTTTTTTCATGGTATAGGGGAAAATGAGTGTTTTGATGATCAATGACCTAGATGCTGGTGTTGGAAGATTTGGTAAGTTTTGTAAACATATTTTGTATGGTAATTGTTGATCACAGTGACCTAGGATATTTTGTTTATGCTTCCTTTTTGAGAGCCTGTCAACAATACTACAATAGTGTATTCATCTGGTGTATTAATTATTTTCCAAATATTCTTCAGAAGAAGAGCACCTTTTGTAGGAAGAGATGGATCTTAGAGTTTTATTTTTCATCGAACATATGGTGATTTCTTTTTGACAGCAAACTAAGTGCTATATATCACCGTTGTTTTCAGGTAACACACAAATGACAGTAAATAATCAAATTGTGATTGGAACTTTAATGAACTTGGCGGATAATCCAACCAGGGTTAGCATTGGCCAGAAATGGAGAGAATCTGATGTAACACACAGAGTGCCAATAATAGTTACCGGAAATGATTTTTCGACACTGTATGCTCCCTTGATTCGTGATGGGAGGATGGAAAAGTTCTATTGGTATGTTCGTTCTTGCATCTGAATAAATTTTGTTGCAACAAAGTACAGACTGAATTTTATTTGCAACAACTAGTCGGATTTAATTTGGCAAAAAAACTTCAAAGAATGATACTTGAATGTGATATGTGATTAATAGGCAGCCTGGCCGTGAAGATATAATTAACATTGTTCACCGCATGTATATAAAGGATGGTTTGTCTTTCGAGGATGTATCAAAAGTTGTAGACACTTTTCCAAACCAAGGTAACCATTTCTCCAGAACTGTAATTTCATTTTGCAGCATATGAAACAAGGTCTATGTTTCTTTTTATACAAACATACTTAGATGATATGTAGGGAAAAGAAAAATAGAAGAGGAACTAGAACAGTAACATAGCCATCATTCCCTCAAGCAAAATACCTATTCTTTTTTTCCTTTTCTCAAACTTCATTATTTTCCTTGTTCAGTTGCTGGTGGAAACTAGTTATTATTATTATTTAGCATAGAAAGTATCCATTTTTCAACTACATTTGAAAAGTATATTCAAGAGCGAACTCAACCCACTGCAGCTCTGGACTTTTATGGAGCTTTGAGATCCAGGACATACGATCGGGCAATCTTGCAGGTACCTGTGTTGATTTAGGACAGAGTTCGCAATTCTATTTTCCAGTTCGTTTTAGAAAAAAAATTCACCTGATTTTTTGTATGTGAAACAATGTCATGTCTGTTACTCTGTTTAGTTGTTGAAGATGTACTTTTTTGCAAATACTGTTGAAGATGTACTGGTGTGCACCAAACAGCGTGTATGGAGACAGCGTGCACCAAACAACTTGACAAGCAGACAATTTTTTTCCAAAAAGTTTTAACAGTTGTATTTCCGATAAATGTACCATTAGGGTAGTAGTTACTGTATTGTACTTCAGACATACTTTTCTGTAAACTGGAAATCTCCTGGGTGCAGTGGGTAGAAGAGATTGGTGGTCATGAACAACTAAATGAAAAGCTTCTCAAGCGAAAGAAAGGAGAGGAGCTTCCAACATTTATTCCTCCAAAGGTATTCAGTTTTTCAGGCCACATAACTGGCTTGCGTTGTACTGAGATTTCTTTGTCATAATCAGTTTGCTAAATGTCTTTCCCTAAAAAAAAAGTCTGCTAAATGTCAAAACAGCAAGCTCACATACTGATTCTTCATTACTCTACTGAATATCATCTAAGTAGTAATTGTTGTTTCTTTCATTGATATGTATAATATCCTGATGTTATTTTGTTCATCAGACCACTGTAGATGCGTTGATTGAATCTGGGGACTCTCTGGTGAAAGAGCAAGAACTGATAATGAATTCGAAACTGTCAAAAGAATATATGAAGAATTTAGATGATTAGTTCAAAACAAAAGGTCTAATAGAGAAAGTACTCGAGGTGCCTATCTCAACCCGATTTTGTATATTTTTGCATCTCTGAAAACTGCACCTTTCTTTCTCTCTCTCTTTGGTGCCCCTGCATCCTACATTCTACAGAACAGTTGCATGTGCAAGTATACGATAGTGTATAAAAGAACATGAAAAGGTATACAAGAATTTTTTCGGCTGTGTTTTATGTATTTTAGATATCTTTATATAATCGTTTGTACAATGGTTTGCAACTCTGAACTATATATAATGAACTTCATATATTATAGTGAACTTCAGACAGTGTTTCGCTTTCAGAAGTTGCCCACAATATGTGGTTTCAGATATCCACGACTGGAAGAACAGATGTCATCGTCGTCTAGCTCTCATTATTGCCAGAAAGTTGTCTGGTACTCCAGTCGACTTGATAGACTTTTTAGGCTATGGCTATGGCACAAGGATACAAAAATACAAAATGGTCCATGTATTCCAGTGAAACAAAAGTGTCCAAATGATAAGTCTTAATTACTACCTCCATCTCAGAATATAAAAAGTTATAGAGTTGAATAGGGTTATCAAGAAAGTAGTAAAATTAAATAGAGCAAGGTTGTGATTGGTTGAGAACTGAAGGTGCTGAGAAATTTGAATGGTGGATGGTTGTAATTGGTTGGGAAGAGAATGTTGATGAAGAATTTGTTATATTTTTAGACAAATTTTAAGTGCTTAAAGAGTTAAAAGTAGTTATATTTTGAGATGGATGAAGTATTTCTCTAGAAAGGATGTACATAATTACTCACGTGATCTACTTCGTATTTACAAAAGATGTGCTTATATGGAACAAAGAATTCACATGAAAATTCCATGTCCATGCTAAGGTAGGTTAGAGAATTCACATGTACGCTAAACTGAAACCCATACCAATCCTTAGTGTTTGTGTCCATCAGTGGATATTTTACAAGGGAAAGTAAGAAATTAAGGTAAGGCCTCCTCTAAAATGAAGGAATTTTGTCGAAACTGAACTAATTTCTATCTAGAAAAAACCAACTTCTAGGACGAATATGAACAAATGCATATCTAGATTCATCCCTATAAGTTTAATCTTTTTGGAACGGATGGTGTAAGTAATATATAGACAACTCAAATAATATGTTGTCTATATATTATTTGATAGTTAAAGATAGTTATATTTTAAGACGACGCCATTCCTTATGTCCTATATAAAGGAGTCTAATCCCATCAATTAAATAGAAATAACAAAGAAATGGAAAACAAAAAACAAAATCCAGTTTTGCACCATGTGTCCATTCGGCGGGAGGAGATGCCTGCCTGCCTGCCAAAGTGCCAATATCCTTATGAAAAATACTATAAGTACGACTAAATTTGTCCGACTTTAGAACAACCTTAACGCCGTGAGCTTGTGACGTTAATCTCCGTATAACCAAGCCATGTTGTCACCATACTCAGTCACGTATTGAGTTGTTTTACCGTTTGATCGTACGCTGGTCGGACATACCAGTCGTACGTATAGTATTGTTCTATTCTTATCTTGGAATACTAAACACTAGCAATACTCGATTTAAGATTATTCACGCGGGTATTACTAGCATCGAGGGGCCGCAACCGCAATTACAAATGGGCTGCTGGCGCTGCCGCCGAGGCAACGTGGAGCGCAGCCAACGCGATTAGGTGGCATCATCTCATATCACATCACATCATATCTCATATCCCCTCGCTACATAAAAGAAACCAAACACTCACTCTCTCCTGATCTTACTCTGCTACCGCTATTCCCTCCCTATCTGTCTCCTCTCTCTCTCTCTCTCCTTGTGACTGTCAGTAGTCCGTCGATCGCCGGCGACTAGCCGGCCGGCCGCCGGCGGCGTCGATCCATGGAGTGGTGGCAGAGGGCGGTCGTCGTGCCGGTCAAGCGCGCCTGGGTCGTCGTCGCCGCCCGGCTGCGTCGCAAGAAACAATACGGTAAGTTATCCATTAATTCTACTGAATCTTTTTTTCCTGGTTCATGTCTTCATGAGAGAAGAATCGAATTGTTTCTGATAAAATTCGCCGTCATGAAGCATTCTGATCTTCTCCTTTTTCATCGTTCTGCATTAAAACAAAAATCACGGTGGGATGGTAATTACCGCTGAATGCAATGGGGAGACGAAGTCTGAATATATTTGAAAATGTTTTTCATCCCAAACATGGGAAATCGCACCTTTAATAATAATTAAATTAGTCAAATCTGTTCTTCGCCCAAAAACTGAATGCATGTACACGTATGGAGCCGAAGCAAATAGCCAAATACACGTCGTTGGGGGACACGTACGCGTGGCGGCCGTCGTCGTCGTCTTCTGAGCAACATGCCAAGCCACGCAATCTGCATCCTAGTACACAACAGTAGTGCAGTATAAGATCAGATGCATGCGTGCAAAATGTAGAAATTATCTGAAACTCTGCGTGTTATTTTTCTTAATTCGAGCGAGAAAAAAAAGAGAGATTGTTTTCGTGTCACGTGGCTGCATGTCGGTTGTCGTACGCCTCACTGGGTTCCACTCCACACAAACATCACTAGTAGACTACTGCTGCAGTACTCATCAGCATCACTAGCTAAGCTATATTGGTTTTCGTCTGCTTCTTCTGCTCGATCTCCACGTGTGGAAATTAATCAAAGCGTGCCTGTTTATGCTTGTAAGATAGTACTGTCATGATAATCTTATTTGCTCTGACATTAGGAATGTAGACATACATTGATTATAATTACTCCCTCCATTTAAAAAATATAATTGGCTTAACCTATGAACCTGGACATGCTCATAGCCAGAAATTCATTTGTTTTAAAGGACAATGTTCATGAGATTGATCAAATCAATAAAGGTTTCTCGGTTCCAAAATAAACAAACTCAGTATAAAACTAAAACGTGAGATGGGGGAGTAGGAGTAGGAGGCGAAATGGCACATAGTGTAGTTGCACAGTGATCTGAGTAGCATTTTAAGATCCTGAGATTAAAATCTTCGTAGGAGTGAATTTCAGATTGAGTTATTTGAGAGACTAAGGCTGTGTTCGGAGGAGGGGGTTGGGAACCCCTCCTCGACGGCACGCAAAACGAAGTTCGTTTTATTGCATGATTAATTAAGTATTAACTATTTTTTTAAAAAAATGGATTAATATGATTTTTTTAAACAACTTTCATATAGTAAGTTTTTTTTTTGCATAAATCACACCATTTAGCAGTTTGATAAAGGTGCACACGAAAAACGAGAGAGGTGGGTTGGGAAAATGAGGGAAGAACACAGCCTAAGTTCCCCATTTAAAAGACTGTAAATATTCGGTTAGATGTGGAGACCGAGTAAAAAAATACCCTTCTAAACAAATAATAAAAAAAGGAGGTTGTCAAGCAGCGGCGCTTAAACCTGGAATTTATCAGGCAAATAAAGTAATGGACAGCAACTGGCACTTCTTGACATCTAGTTTGTGATGAGATATTTCAGTGTCGTATTATCTACCTCCATGTCATAAGGAATGCATATATATAATTAAATTACACGTAGACATATACTATACATATGGGTTGGTACTTGGTAGAGGAACCAGCCAAATTAGGCAGCGAGTGAGTGACATCTGCATGCAGTATATACTCTCACCAACCAACCGCCCCTGCTCTGCTCACTCTCTCGGCAATTTGGACGGACACTCATCTCTGCTCATGCTTAATTGCCTTCTAGAAGCGTCGACGTGGCATGCTTATGCACTTACATTTCGTCCTGGCCATGATTAATCCAGGATACGCATGCCCGATTAGTCATAACTATCTGCAGACTGCCTGTGTTGTCACCATGTTTGTGCTCATTCAGGTACAAAAGTGATTAGCTGCCATTGCATACTTGCCTTCTGCTCTTGCTAATTGCTATATACATATACTTCGTTATAAAAATATAAGAATTTTTAATTTGTTTAGTAAAAACTTAGGTTGATAAAATAAATAATTTCTTTCGGTCATACCATTAGTGGTCAAATTTTGAATTGTTTAGGTTGGATTTTCGTACATTAAAATTAGTATTCTAGAAATATTTGTATAAAATTTGAATCCTACTATAGTTTGAAACGGAGAGTGTGATGATACCATGATATGTTCAGGCTTCTGGGTACACACGTGTAGGGTGTCGACCGCCGATCTAGCTAGCGACCTCTTGCTATTTGACAACAGTGCTAACTGACAGTGATTGATTAGCTTTGATCGACTTTTTAATTGTGCAACGTCACCCATGCATGCATTTGTTTAGTCTAGCTATCATATTGTGCTACTACCACATGACTAGGTAAACCGCTTACTTATTTCTCATGCCGATCGACGAGGTACGCGTCGCATTGTGGACGCATGTATACGATGCGTTCATGCAGTGTCATCCTAATCCATTACGTCATTGACAAGCAATGAAATTAATTAAGGACATGCTTAATTACCTTAATTAGCCTCTAGATAGCACCGTATTAATGATGAGTATGTCAGGTGTTTGTGTATGCATGGAGCACGTGCGGTATCAATTCGCTCTTGGATTTTCATCAGTATAAAAATAGGATTTGCTTTCTGCATGGATCCAATTCTGCAGTCGGCTAACCACCCAATCATACATATAGACAGCATCACATATTCATTTTTTGCAGGAAAAAAAAAGAAATTATAGACAAGAATTATGACTGGTTATTAGCTCATCTAGATTCTCAAGATTCAGAATTCCTTCAGAGCTTGTGTGTTATCAAGTTCTGCAGTTTCAACAAATTGGACTTGAGAATTGACACTAAGCTACCTTTTCTGTAACAATTTCTACCATGGTACATTTTTTTACAGCTACAAACTGTAGCACCAATGTACTCTCTCCAAATTCATAACCATAAATTAGTGCTTCATTTAATTTGGAACGGCCGATGAAATGCTTATATTTTTAGAATCAGGTGGAATATAATACTCTCTCCGTTTCAGGTTATAAGATGTTTTAACTTTAGTTAAAGTTAAACTGCTTTAAGTTTTGCTTTAAGTTTGATCAATTTTCTAGAAAAAAAAGTAATATTTTGACCCAAGATAAATTTATTATAAAAAATATTTAATTATTCATTTAATAAAACTAATTTGGTAATGTATATTACTATATTTGTCTATAAACTTAATCAAACTTAGCAGTTTGACTCTAATCAAAGTCAAAACATTTTATAACCTGAAATGAAAAACATTTTATAACCTGAAATGTGAATGAAGTACTACGTAGGTAGTTGAATTTTGTTTGCTTTGTCAGATGGGCGCGGCGTGCTGGTGAAGCTCCACGACGACATCCAGACGTGCGCGTACGAGGACGTGCAGGTGATGTGGGAGATCCTGCAGCGCTCGGAGACGGCGAGGCTGGCCACCGCGCCGCCGTCGCCGGGGAGCGCCCGGGCGCTCATCTGGCCCGGCCGCGCCGCGCCGCCTCGCCGCCGCCATCGATGACATGGACCTGCGGCGGCGGCGGCGGTGCTGAGAGTGAGTGAACATGCCATTGCCGCCGGCCGGTCGAGCATGGCCGTCTCTCAGCTAAAGCTCCGGCCAGCTCTCTGCCATTGCTAATGCGAATCCCCTTTCTTGCTGTATAGCTCTAGATGCTTGCATCTTTCTTTACTTATGTAAATAATATTTACAGTTTCAAGAGAAAGTACCAGTTTTGTATTTTGCTGCAGTCTTTCTCTTGGTTTCAGAAATCAGAACTGCTATCATCAGCCTATGGGGCTGTAGGCATATCGCTCTCACACTGAAAAAACAAAACAACATATTCAGTTCAGGAGAGGGCAGTAAGCAGGCTGAGAAAACATTGGAGATACCTTGTAAAAAGAAGGAAAGTACCGGATAATCAACGATGCATGCAATTAAAAGATCTGCGTAGGGTATCAGAGCTTGTGTCAGCCAGGTGATCTGAATTTAGGATCAAAGAACCTGAAGTGGAGGTCTAAAACTGACATATGGTACAATGAGCACTCTGAGAAGCAGCTCTGCAATCGGTGAAATGGTAGTCATGGCGGCTTCTCAATCATTTTTTCCATTCAAACGACCATATATTTTGATAGTCTCGTTTCATTCATACTGTTCTTTCCATCAGTGTCTCAGCTGCCAACCAAATGGATGTCAGCACAAGCATAGGATAGCAAATCAAAATGGCATTGTAGCGTCCCAGTGGCTCAGTGAATCTCGAGCTGTGCTACAGAGAACAAGATTTTACCTATCAGAGGGCCAGAAATAAGGTTCACAAGATGCTAAACCCAGGCCGCGTGTATCATAACTTCAAAGGTGACTTCTAACAGTTTTCTGGCTTTCTGCTTGAAAAAAAAGGTGATTATGCAACTCAACAGATTATATTTAAGGATACTCAAACGAAACTATGTTCACAAGTAATCAGCAGAAGAAAGTACACCAGAGCAAAACCAAATACAGGTATGAATTGTCCGATCCTTGAGAGCAAGAAGTTTTGCATGCACCCAATAATCTGCAGCAAATATGCACATTCTTATACATCATATTAGCACGCCATAGAAGAAGTTTTGCATTCACAGGCATTAAGCATTAACGGAATCCAGTCTAATTTCCCCCACCTTATGATGAAAAAAATATCACTCCAATCAACAAGGCAAACAGCTAAAAAAATTAATGACATTATGCAGACCAACATTAGGGAAAAGGAACAACTAAAAATGGAGAGACAGTTCAGGCTTACCATCTACAGCTTCTTGACTAATCCCTCCGTTCCATCTGGTACTAGGTTCTTATATTTTGGGACGGAGGGAGTAGGTCTCCTTCAAAGCAACATTAGATAGAACGGAAGAGGAAATTCAGACACAGCATACTTGCAGGTTGCAACATGTAGCTGTCATTGTCAAAATGCTTCCTGAGATATTTCTACAAATTGCCTACACATACAGATCTGAAAGACATTCTTCTCCCCATTCAGAATGAATGTGGAACAAGAAATTTTAGATTAAAAAAACAAATATATCATAATTTTCATCAGGAACCCATTCGTTTAAGGTGATAAAGTGAGGATCACAATGATAGTGCACAGCTTGGCCATAAACATATCTACGTTTTCATATCTGGAGTGAAGATGGAAACATCTACCCACTCCCAAGCAGACAAACACATCAAGGGAGAGGAGAGGTCTTAGAGATCTAACATATAACTTTCAAAAACACAGTTACAAAAGAATTTAAATAAAATTAACGTTCAACATCCCTGAAATTAGTACTGAAGATACCTAGAAAATTTTGGAATCAATAATGTACATCCTGACCTAGAAACTTACAGAACATTTTCCTATAAGTTACAGGACAGCTCTTGCATTTTGCTGTCTTCTGTCCCCTTATGCCAGATGTTACATAGAAGTTGGGACTTTTGGATGAACAGTCTCCATCTCAGGAGAGCTAATGAGGTCTAAGCAACGTCAACGGAAGATATTCTTCTTTATGAGGGCATTTATCAGGAGAAAAGAATTGGCTTTCTTTCGCTGCAAATCTGACAGCAGAATTCTGCCTTATCCCCAAATGCGCATCTTCTGTTGCTTGACTGCAGTATAATCGCTTCAGCTCAAATGTACATCAGATGGGCACCAAAAACACATTGGTACAAAAAATCTATTTGAAATAGCACTTTCCATCTGTCAGTCATTTTCTTCTGGTGAACATAAGCATATCTTTTCAAGGAGGACTGGCCAGTCCTCCCCGAGCTGTTGAGGATTTAGCTGCATAGCTACCTTGAAATCATCAAGGGAGATCAAGTGGTGATTTCTGATATCATTCGTTGCTCCGGATGGTCCACTGCCTGATTGCATCTGAACATGATTTGGCAACCAAACACCATTCATATGTTTTCCATATGCATGCTGCTTGTACAATTCCCCTTTTCTTGCATCACTTTGAACATTAGCTCCTATTAACTCAACTGATGACCTAATCAGGTTCTTCAAGTACTTGTCCAAACCGTTATTCAGAAGGTCAGCACAATCCAATGTGACACCAGCTAGGCCCAGTGACTCTGCTGTTTTCTCCATCCGCCGATGCAATGCCTCTGTATTTAACAATTCACGATGCTCACAACAGCTGGTACAGTGATCCTCACCTGCACTAATTAGTGGTGGTGGTAATTTCCTTGCCCCGCCCACACTCGCTGAACAAAAAGGAATTCCAAGTGGTGCCCGTACAGGGCTATTCGATGCTTCTGCAGAATGATCCGAGACATTGCTCATGCTTCTTCTCAACTTGATTATGTTTCCAGTTGGTGACTGCTCCACACGTTGGTGCTTTGCCAATGGCTCTGCAGATTCATGTTGAAAATGCACTGATCTCTTGAGGTCAGAAGAACTTAGGGTGCCATTCTCTGGTACTGCCGCACCACCGTGAGTAATCTGGCTGTGATTGGCAGAAGCATCTACCCTACAACTCAGGCCCGTGCTTTTCATCCGATCTTTTGACTGATGATCTTGCATTGTGCTCATATGCCTTGACCCCTGCATCTGTAATAACCTGATGTCCCCATTGCAAGAATTCAATGCTTCGCCGGGCTGACAAACCTTCTTCACTGTTGCTCCCACAGACCTCCCAACATCTGGTGCTGGTGTTGGAGGTGGACACTTCGCATGGTAGGCGTTGTAGAGAACTGAGCGTATCAGCTGATTATGCACTCGGAGGTTCTCTCTCCCCAATGTTTGGAGGCACACCTTGTCGAAATCCGCCTTGCTGAGCCTATTCGACAGGTAGCCCTTCAAGTAGCTGAAGTACCTCCTTGACCTGTCAGGACCAAGCCTCTTCTCCAGCTGAAGCTTCACCTCGCGGAGATCGATACGGCCATTCTGCTGCTGCGCCTGCGGCTGCGGTGGAGGAGCTGATGGCTGCTGCTGCTGCTGCTGCGGTGCAGCGAGCGGCCACGCCTCCTCCCTCACCATGTCCATAAAATCACCACCCCGGCGAACCCCAATATCGGATTCAGAGCACAGAAACCACGAATCGGTGACAGCGCGCCGCACCAACCCAGCTCGGATCAAACCACTATGGCCTCCGTCGCCTCCTGCAGAGCGCGAGCCCGTAGCCCAATTCCCAGCTCGCCAGCCATGGAGGCGATCTCATCTCCGCCGGAACCACACCAATCGCCGCGGAAGCAACCACCCGCCCCGGGAGCGGTGCGGCTGGCCCGAATCAAGCATCCAGGGCGGCGAGTCGTCGGGCGGGAGCCAAATTGGATTACCCACCCAAACCCTAGCGCAATGGGGGCATGATCCCGACCCCGGCGAGCTCCGCCCCGGGCCCGCGCCGCCTGGATCTCCGGCGAGGAGGGCGACCAACCGCCTCCCACTCCACGACCGAATCGAATCCGAGAAAAACAGCAAGAATTGGAGCTGACCTCGCCGAGGGGGGCAGCAATTGGGATTGGCGGAATCGGATTGGAGGACGCCGCCGCCGCCGCGAGGAATTCCGCTTCTGCTGCTGCTGCTGCTCCCCCGCGCGCGCCGGAGTGCGCGGATTGCTGCTGCTGCTGCTGGTGGGGGAGGTGGGAGATGGGTTCTTGCTTCCGTTTGGTTTGCTTCTCTCTTCTCTTCGTGTTCGTCTTGGCTTGGGCTGGCTGGCTGTCTCTCGCTTCGTGTTTTTTTTTTTTTGGTTTGGAGTTTTTTTTTTTTTGGTTGGGAGGGTTTTTTTTTTGGGCCGTTGAATTGGATTTGATCGCGGAGGCGACCCGAGAGGGCGGGAGGGGGGGGGGGGGGGGTGCACCGCAGCGAAGAGGGGAGAGCCTTTTGGCTCCCGGCCTGTCTCTCCTCCTCTTTGCGGTATGTTGTGTGCCAGTGTGCGTGTATTGGTCAGTGATTAGTTGCTGATCTGCTTCTGCTTGTGATTATTCAATTTCGTTGTTTTTGACTTTTTTTCAAAGTTAAACCACTTAAGTTTGTAGAAAAAACAGTAAAATTTTCAACGGAAGATAAATGTATTATGAAAATATATTCAATTATTAATTTAATGAAACTAATTTGATATTGTAAATATTACTATATTTGTCTACAAACTTAGAATAGTTTGACCTTGACCAAAGTCAAACCGACTTATAATCTGAAACGGAGGGAGTACTCATTTAAAATATACTCCCTCCGGTTTCATAATTCTTGATGTTTTGGACAAGGTTAAGGTCAAATTTTTGTAACTTTGATTATCAATAACTTTAAAAGTATTTAGTTTAAAAAAACTAGAACAATATATATAGATTTGTCTTTCAAAGTATTATGAGAAAAGTAAGCATGCATTTATTTATTGTGTATATTATAATAGAAAAATAAAGTCAAACATATATTTTGGAGACCGTATCATTGTCCAAAACGTTAAGAATTATGGAACCGATGAGAGTAACTATTTTTACAATTAATATTTTATACAAAATATAAGTATTATATGATGCATTGGATTTAATGCACAGTAGTCCAAACATTTTTAGCCCTAGGGGGAGAGTAAGCAATTCAAAATTTTACCATTGTGATGATTAAAAGAGAATATTCTCTCTTATATTTATTTTTTTATCCAACAACATAGAAATATATTTATAGGAGTGTTTAGGAACGAAGGGAATACTTGTCACTTCAAATACTTGTAACCAGTAATCAAGTTGTTTCAACTTTCATCACTGATAATTTTTAAATGGTCAAATTAAGATGGACGAAAGCTTAATGTTTATATTTAAAATGCAACATAATTTGATATAATGCACCTTTTCTAAAGTATTTATATATTGTTTGAATAAAAATGATAAACAATCAAAATTCAAATATAAATAATGGTTGGAACAATTATTTAGGAAGTGAGGGGTATATCTTATGCGCAATGCAGTATAAGCCGATACAAGTTTTGATGCACTTGCTGTAGCTATACCACCGAACACACCCGGGTATATAACTATATGATCATTTCTGATTCTGAATGGGAGCATGAACTGCACCGGATAGAATTTACATTTCAGAACAGTAAAATTGTTTGGAGTATATGTACATGCGGTACATGTATGTTATGGTAAACGTAATTTTATTGTTTGACTAACTGTATATCTTTTAATCAAAGTTGTAAAAGGAGATACAGTATTATCTAGGAGTAAGTACGACTCACGTACTAATGTACTGCTGTACTCCATCGCGTTTATTTAAAAGGAGTCTAAATAAGTCCATCGCGTTTAAAAGAAGTCTAAATAAGTCCATCGCGTTTAAAAGGAGATACAGTATTATTTAAAAGAAGTCTAAATAAGCCCATCGCGTTTCCTCTTAAGGTTAAAGGTTAGAAATTGATCTGTTAAACGGAATTTTGTATCACAAGTCATGGTGGATCCGGATAACAACATATCATACAACTCCATATTGAAGTTAACATTATTCTCAACCAGGCAAATTTTGGCTATTAATGTTTATGAAAATGGAACAAGCACGAGAAAGAAAAGAGATAATCACATAATTAGTCTAACCATAATTTAATTTGGTTCGACAGAAATTTGTGGCAATTCATTTTACAACCGCGTTTTCATATCAACTTGGAAAATTAATCAAAACACGGCGATCTGGAGCTAACTCTAAATAGCTGACGTTGATAATGTCCAGCTTCGCTAAACACCAGATACTTCATTTTCTCCTACTGCAATAACAGCTACCCTGAAGCATCAAGGTGACTTCACACTTCTGCATCCATCTCCATCAAGAAAAAGGTGTTCAAACCAAAGTACAAGCACAGGTAAATTATGGATCCAAACAAGTCCTGGTTTTAACCAAGCTCAGAATGTTTATACCTCATATGCACGTTCGTAGGACAGGTGACTACGTTTTGTAGGTGTACTATTTTACTTGATATTAGAATGGAAAAGGTGCCGATCAAAAAAGAGATACAGTATTGATTTTTATTTTACAACCCAATGAGATGTTTCTCACTTCAAACATGCATATACAGGGTATTAATACCGACCCGTCCCCTTACGTTATGTAGATATCAAAACGTAAATCAATTTTGAAATTCCTCAGTTCAGATATGCATGCCAAAAAACAACAAAGATTTGAATAGAATGGAATAAACGTTTTGACACTCCTTGTTGCCAATGTCCCTTATGCATATGATATAATAGTCTACCTACAACAAAAGAACATGCCAAGGTCAGTACAAAGCAAGTAAACAAAATTTTAGCGAAATGTGCGGTGAAAAAATACATGTACATGCCCAAAAGGCCAAAAGTGCAGAGTTTACAGCATCACTTCATTCACAACTGCAAGCAAATAAAACAATAATGCGCACTATTTGGCATCCCCAGATAGTATGCAGATGCCATTTTAAGTTAGCCTCGAGTCTCCCCTAGGCCCTAACCCCTGATTTTGATACCCTGAAGGGGAAAAGACTGAAGGGTAGGTAACCCATGAACATGCACCATTCCTTGCTGTTTGAGATTGGTGCAAAATGCCCCCCATATATCTCTAGATTGCAGATTTAACTCCAATAGGAGACACTTGATGATAGCGCAACAGCTTTCTTCACTGTTAGCATTTCCAAATATTCTCTGTCTCCTTCAAACATTACAAACGCTAAAATTTCAAAAATTTGCAGGTACTGGACTACCAATTATGCATGAAAATCACATTAAAAGGAAAAAGTCAGGCATGGTTTTAAATTTCCGAATCTCAAAGCACACTCTACAGTACAGATAGAGAGAGTACCCACCAGCTCAAGCACAAGAGCTTTTTCCTTGTTAATATAACCTCCTCACAAAAAAAACTGGTCTGCTTGCCGTCAAATTCTGGGTGTTTATGTATATGCTAACTGACCACAGACCACTCCAAAGCCGGACACTTGAACTGGTCTAGATATCACAATTACAATGCATACTCTGGCAATCTGGCACGTCACCTAAGAATTTCTATAAATAATGGCAGGCTTCCACAAGAAAACAGTACGGAGATGATTAGATTAAAAAAAGGATTCTCGTCAATATAATATGGGCTATGCATGGTACATGCCTATTTTCTATGTAAACTATGTTGAAAACTTTATGCAGGACCATCATACGTCTTCTAGTCTGCATGCAATACTATGTAGACATTTTTTACATAGGACCATACTACTAGAAGAATGCCGCTTACTTGCCTGCACAGAAATTTACTAATCTATGTTCACAACTCAAAGACAGGACCAAGTCTGATACTTTAGTAGAAATGTTACCTGGACAAATATCCACTAAGGACTAGCTGATTGAGTCCTCCGGGACACTTGAATCCTGAAGAACACGATCAGGATCCAGCTGACCACTGTAATAGCTAGATGGGACAGCAGACAGTTCCAACTTTCCAGTCCACTCCTCACCAGGCTTCAAAGTAATCGGCTTTTCTATAGCAGCTGCCTCCACACAGACCATGCGTTTATATTCGTCATCCCCAAAGTCTGACATAGCCTTAGCCTTCTTGTCCCAAGGGTTCCAAACAACTACAACCAGGAAATAACCAACACAATCCATTTTTTTTTCATTTATTATAACAAAGATAGTTTATTATGGTTGTAACTTGTAAGCAAATAAAGACCATCATTGACTGTACCAGCATCAGGAAGGCCACCTTTCCTCACAACAAATGTTCTTTTCTTCTCATGATCAATAATGGCAATTTTTGACGGTGTGCCCAGATATATTCTGTCCAACTGTACAATAAGTTTGCATTTGCTTCCTTAGTTAGAATGCAAAGAAAAATGAAGGATAGTGTAAGGTTCAAATGTTTTGTTAACGCACTTCAGATTCAAAAACAATTGCATCCCCTTGTTCAGTGTATCGATTTCTCTCTTGTAAGTTGTCTAGGTAATCCAGAGTTTCCAGGCCTTCTACTCGCACCTCGCTGAAATATTAGCATAAAGTTATGCACAATGAAGAAATTGTTTCTGTATGTCTATGGAAATACATTTGAAATGGAAAAGGAATTCTTCATTGTGGATAAACATACAGAAACATTTTCCATTAATTAAGCCCACATTTTAGACAAACATATTAGGTGGATAATAAACATGATCACTTCCAATACTGCACTGTGCCTTTGAAATGAATTTTTCAGAACTGATGGGCTTTGTCGAGAGTTAAACAAGTGTACCTGATATCAGATATTGAAAAGTATGTGTGATATGCAAATGTAAATGAGAATGGCTTTCCATCTGCATTGGTATTTCTTATACGTGAAGTCAGCATCAGATCTCCACCAGGTCCAAGTGCAACTCTCAGACGGAACTCGTAACTGAAATAAAGGATTTGCTTTTACTGATCCATGTGAACAGCTACCTTGTCTTCTACTAAAACAATTATATGATAAGAAATAGAGGGAAAAAAACTTTCAATTATCTTACAATGGTAATTAATTTACTATTAACATGTAATTATTTAGTATATGCCCACCTATGTGGCCAGATCTTTAGATCTTCTTCAGTATGCGTAAGGATTAAATCGACGTAAGCTTTATTAGAAGTTGGTACTGGAAATGGTGGTGGATCATTTTCAACACTCCAGGTCCTGTTCCTTGCAAAGCCATGTGGGTCCAGATTTCCGAAGTTGGAAAACTAGAATACGAAGTACTGAGCAAAATTAAAATTTGAGAAAGCGGAAGAGATTACGAGCAAAAAAAAAATGCAGGAAAGGAAAAGCACGGACCTGAGGAAAGCAGATTGGTATCCCTCCACGTATAGCTTTTGGAGGTTTGAAAATAGCCTGAGAGAACACAGGCATCAGCCAAGCAACTCTTAGGCAATTAAAGAAATACATGGAATAAAAAAATCCAGTAAGATTCATAATCAAATTTTATTGCCATGTCGAGGTCAAATGAGTAGCAGGGATGTGGCAATACAATCTTTGTCACATCATTACCACAAAAACATAAGGTGGACGATAACAAAGAGGTACATGGTTTATGAGAATAGGTATGCATGTCTGGATGATAATGAAATTAAGGGTAAGGATCATATTCTACCAGTTGAATTAGCCTAGTATCAGTCTCTCAGACAGGCTTATGGTACAGCCAAAACAATGATGGAAGAATTTTAGAGGCACTGAGATGTGCCCAATTGCCCATACTAAAGATAGGAAATAATATCACCTTATTACTAACAAAAAGCAGCTCCTCTCCATGCTCATCTTTCCATGATGTGACATGGCCGCCATACAGGTACACCTGAAAGCAGCAAGAGTAGAAATACTAAATAACCATATGTTTGGACTTTGGAACAGGATACATACAAGAAAAAAGAAATAAGTCCTATGTAGCCAGGACAGAAGCAAAGAACTAGATATATATAAAGAGATGAGTCACAAAAATGCACATGTGGAGTTCTAATGAGCTTATTATGCTGATTAGCTTTTGGGGCATGTCCTTCTGATGCCCATCCACTAACTATGTTTCTGATAATCAATAACTATTCAGAATGATATAATTTCTAGTAATTCATATTCTTGATACCCAAATAAAATAAATATGTTCAGTGGGGATATCTCCTATTGTTCCCATAAAAAAATCGATAGATAGATGTATTACAATATCTTTGACCAATAGATAGATGTACTATAGTATCTTCATTTTAAACTCAAGAATGAATAGTTTAGCTTACTGTTATTTTGTCAAAATCAATGTGGAAGTCTTGGCATTGAGCTTCCAATAGTCAGACCTTATGCAATAGCACTATAGCATATATGCCCATGATTTACTTAGCTCCATATGCCTTCTTGGTATACATCTGATTCAACAAACAACATGGGCTTCTTGTTATACATCTAATTCGCCAAAAAACATGGGGCTGGCCTAGTTAATGTCAACAAGCGAACATCCAACATCCAAATTGTAGGTGAAGCAAGTTTTAGGATGAGTTCTGGAAAGTCTAAGTGGGATAATAGGTATCGGATGAATATAGGAGGATATTTCCTCAGTAAGGCCGACTAGTTGAGTCACAAGAAGACCAGGACCAGTAGCAAACATGACCAGTTAGACACCGGCGTATCGTTTCTCCATCAACTCAAACCATCCTCTGGCGTTCTCACCTCTCTTCTACCAGTGTTGATCCATGAGCTTCTATCCGTATTGGACTGAAAATAATACCATGGCAACAGCACAAATGGTGGCCCTGCTACTCATCATCAGAGATAGCATAAAGCAAAGTATGCAACTGGAGGAAAAATGAAAGAGGCTCCTCAAGTGACGTGATGAATGGTAGCATGGGCTCCATCCCACCAGTTTGGCCTGATAACATCCATAATTTCTATGGAATTTGCGTCAAAAATTATTTCTATGGAATACGGATAATACGATTTTGGAATCTTGTACTAAGCGTACACCAAACAACATAGTAGCTAGATATTTGACCCACAAATCCAGAAGCTACAATAAAACGCCCATGATATCCATAACATCAGCCAAAGAAACAACTCGCTTGCCAAAATCGCTATGCTAAGATCGAGCAGGCTGTGTCACTATCATTTTTATATACCTCCTCAGGTAAAATTCCATCATTTATTGTCTCCTAAAAGGCCAAGTGCATGAGGTCCCACAATCCACTCTTCAGACTCTTTAGTCTTTAGCAGCTGAGATAATCATGAAAAAACCTATCTTTCTTGGGTCTACCATTTTAGGCCAAAAGAGCACTCTCAGGCTGTAACCAATATGAGGCATCCGCGTACCCAACAACAAGAAGTGTTGATTATAAAGGGTCACTAGCAAGAGTATGAAGATTTTCTTATGTTGCTTTTTAAGTTGACTAAAAAAAACATTTTATTGCAACTGAAGTGTATACCCCCTCCCTGCTAACCTGGATTTTCCTCAGACCCCAGATATGAGTAAATTACCCCTCTATAAAGAGAATGTTCACCACCCTCATGTGTTCAGGGGTTATAGAAGCACCATTGTACACTGTATTGAGCCATTTTTATAATCCTATTTGTTACTCCCACCATTTAGTTTATAAGAAACGCACATAATTCATTGTATCTGTTGATCAACGGTTAGTTGAAATATTTATATGTCTATGGATAAGACAGTGGTACCAACAGATTCATCATGTTCTAAAGTACTTCCACTGTTTCGCACAATCAATATGTTGCAAGGGGAAACTAGAGGTCAAAGGTCAAGTTTTGACAATTGCGCCTTACAAAAAAAAATAAAATAAATGGATGATGTATTTCCAACCACAACTCGTCAATGGAGGCAAAGTGAGAAGGCAAATACTCTCCACTCTGAATGCAAGAGACCCAGACTGATTTCAGAACACCGATCTGTCGCCTACAACGAGTCGAACCACAAGCTTCCCGGCAATCAAACCACTCCTATCTCTCACCCAAAAAAAAAAAAAAAACACTGCAAGAGTAGTACTTGAGCATGGTAAGCGATGGGAACAGCAGTTGAGCAACTACAAGCAGCGCCATGGATCTGCGGCGAGATCTGACAGCTGAATCGAGAGAGTGGAGGGGGCAGTACTAGTCTTACCTCGGCAGAGCTGCCTCGGACCTCCCGGAGGACGACCTTGTCGAGCCCGTTCACGCCCTTGCAGGTCACCACCGGCCCCTCCTGCTGCGGCTGCGCGGCGGCGGCGGCGCCCTCCTCGCCTGCCCCTCCGGCCGCCGACGCCGACGCCGCCGACGACATCCCCGCCTGAGCAGTGGAGGTGGAGATGGAGATCTCTCCTGGGGAATTTCGCGTCACTGCTCGCTCTGGGGACTTAAATAATTATTCTCGAGATGCCTTTTCCTGATCGCGATTTTTTCCCCTCCTCCTCCCAAACTCCACAATTAAAAAACAAAAAACGCAAGCTTTAGTCTCAAAAACGCAAGCTTTACTTTCTCCTAGAAACGCATGCTTGCGACGCGGGGAATTAGCGTTGCTTTAACCGAAGCAAAAAAAATATTCCTCATCGAGAAGCAGCAGCAGCAGCGTGTGAGGTGTGAGTGAGCGAGTGAGAGTTTATACGTGTCTCGCTCGAAGAATTTGGCGAGATTTGGAGGAAAAGGATTTGATTGGGTTTTGCTTTGCTGTTGCGTTCTGATGCGCTAACCGCTAAAGGCGATAAAAAACCTTGGCGTTTCTTCGACGCATTTTGTCGGTGTACAAGCCTTTTTGGTGGTTTCCATGCTGTACAATCGCAACCTGCTGGTTTCCCATGTAGCATATGCTGTGAACATCAGGGATACACCCCCACTGATCGCTTGTTGTATATGCAGAATTAACCTGTATTCAGATAAAGAAATGTCTTGCAAAGTAATTAACTGATTTCAGATAAGGTGCCGGTTGCCTGAATTTGGCTTTGGTGTTGGAAGGACATAAAGGAAAGCCGAATGGTACGTTTGATTTGGATTATTGAACGGACTATTAAAGCGGATTATCGATTTGATTTAGAAATTTTAAGAAATAAACATGATGAATAGTTTAAAGTGGTCCAAGTAATACAGTAGAAAATGTTTTTTAGAATGTATTTTTTTCAAGCATGAAATTAATAGTTAAATAATATGATGAACAAGTAAAAAAAAGTATCATATGCACATAAATCTTTTTGTGTGCACACCACCTAACAAATTTCACTAAAAATTCTAGAAAAAATATATATCTATAATTTTAGTAGTATTACATATATGTATAAAGTTTCATCTTCAAAATCATTATATTTAGTGAGTAAAAAAAACAAAATTCAGATACATTTATACTCTTAAAATTGTCAGAATTATCATCTTTTTATTAACGTTAAAATATAATAAATTTGAGGCTAAGTATTTACACATAGGTGTAGTACTGGAAGTACATAAATAATTGTTTTAAATTTTTGATAAAATTTATTAGTTGATGTGTCTGATGTGTACCCGAGAAAGATTCTGTGAGTAGGATTACAAATAAAGCATATATAGCTCTTTTCCCCCTGTCTTGTAAATTAGTTATGTAAGACGATTTAGCACACTAGCTTTGACCAGCAAGCTGTGTGCAGTCATAGGATCATCGATTGTTCCAACATCGGATGATAATAACAGCGTGTTACTTCCAGTAATCTATATACTCCATCTGGCTAATTAAGACAGATAGATGGGTTTTGATCCAGTGATGTTAGCGGTGACTGACGCGGGCGCGCCACGCCGCCGTCAGGTGACCGATCGATCGATTGCTCGTACGTCGCCGTCGTCATGATGCGCCATGGGTCAATCACTGCCTGCCATCATGGTGGGCGGCCGGCGCCGGCGACGGCGACCCGTAGATCTCGATTGACCGATTAGCCGGACAATTAGTGCAGTATTCAGATCCATAAGCCCATTTAGAATTTTCGCTTATATTTATACTTATCAGCCAAAATTTAAATTTAAATTTTTAATTTTAAAATAATTTTAATGTTTTTTCATCATAATTTATTTTTCAGCAAATTTTATTTTTCGTTTGCGATACGCCGTTTGTCTTATTCCTCGAATAAGCCAGATAATGGGGCTGTTTGTAGGGGGATGAACAGTATTTCGGGCATTGGTTCCAGCTTAAAGTGATTATCTAATTACTGCAATTCCTTGTGCAATCTGACTGCTGCTCCCGGTATATGGCAGACGATTATTGCACGGATAACGCTGAAGTTTTTTTTTTAAGCAAAGGATAAAGCTGAAGTAGTCGAGTGGGCTGTTGGCCTAGGGCCAATGGGCATCTGGTCAGGCCACCAGAAGATGGGAATTGGGCCGATCCTGAAACATAATGGGCCTAGGAGGCCATAATTACTTTTTGGGCCACTTAAATCTCATCGTTTGGCCCATTCGGACTTCGGAGTGTACTCCGCTGCCGTGGGCGGGCCGCAGGGAAGCACTGTGAACCTGTTTGTTTGGGAGAAAAGTCCGGAGATGGTGAGAAGTCGTTGATGAGCATTCCGCTGGTGAACGCCAAAAGCTAAGAAATTCCGATTCCAAGCTGCTAGTTCAGGTTTTTTGGATTTTGTAGCTAGAAATTCTTAAAATATGAACGGAAATCTGATTGAGTTCCTCCATGAGATTTATTTGGAATTGTATTTTCAGGTCAAACCAAAGTCGCAACAAAGTTATCGATCCAGGGCAGCTATTTTCTGCAACTTTGAACTTGCCAAATTTCAATACAAAAACGGATGAGATGGAAGACCAGTACTGAAACAAGCTTGAAATCAGGTTTACATTCGATAATTAACCACTACTAGCATCTAGCAAGGAAATGACCAACGACGACAACGACGGTTCATCATCCTCCTGTTCTCAGGCAGTTGGGCTGATCTGATCATCATATCGAGATGTCGGTCAGTCACTTCTTCCTGGACTTGCGCTCGGCCCGCCGTCGCGCGCGGCGCTGCCGGCCGCCGGCGTCGTCGAGCTCCGAGTACTTCTCGTCGAGTTCCTCGAAAGATTTCTTCATGCAACCACCGACGAAATCAATTAATGGTGAGAAAAATGCATGGTTGAAGATGGGGACGACGACGAGGAGAGCTAGCAGTATAGCAGACGTACGTCTCGGAGCTCCATGAAGCTGACGGCGTAGAAGGTCACGGCGGCGGCGGCGACGATGGTGAGGATCGGACCGGCGAACTGCGCGGCTACACCTTCCATGAGCGCTAGCCGCTAGGTTACTGGTTCTGATGAGAAAGAGGCTCAAAAGCTTTTTTTCTCAGCCAACCACTACTCCAGTAGCCTGTGTAACCCTATCCAGAATTCAGATAGCTCACTCCGTCACTCGTATCAGCATTTGTCGATCACACAAACACCCTCCGAAAAACAGTATATTTATATACGTGCCCTTAAAAGCATCAAGTGATATCATATATCAGTTGATAACACCTTAAACCAATCTTATATATGTCATTATACTATTCAACTATTTAGAGTCATGCCATTATAATTTTTTAGATATACATGGGAAATATACCACTACACACCCTTTGATGATGTACTGATCTGATTGCTGATGTTATACTGAGATATTTTCTTACAAGTACAAATTCATCATATGGTAGTTTACAAACATTGCAGGCCATAATATGCAGAACATGTATAGTCGTGGCGGGGGGAGAGCAACGTCGTGGGATGGGAGGTGAATGTGATCGTGGTGACAGTAAGCGTCGAGGCCAATCGTGATCACTGCAGTAGGAGGGAAGAAACATATTTCTATTGGTAGTTTTTATAGGGCCTATACTTTTCAGTTTCAGAGAATTAATTATAGCTCATCTCTTGGAGAGATGATATTTTCACATCTTAAATTTTGTTTAGGATTATCTTTACTATTATAAAAGTTTAAGATGTTTTTGCCGAAACTATTTTCGTACCTCGTGGTATCCGATTCTGCTCGCTCATGCGCCACGCCCCACGTCGCGTTCGCATGCATCCGAGTCCGTTTCGCATGTGTTTCCTCCGGCCGTGAGCTGGTTAATTAGTCGACTGTATGATCGTTCCGTTCGACGCAATGCGAGAAGGTTTTCCGTGCGCAGCAAAGGCCGGCCAGTCCGGATCAAGATGTACTGTTAATTATCTTTGCACGTAGATAGATTTTGCATGCATGCAAATCACAGCTAGACTCATATTTTCCTGGAGCAAATAATGACTGGCTAGCAAGATCTCAGGGATCATTGCGTAGAGGTCAGAAGGCTATCCCAGCACGATAGCTGGTTGTGGAGAAAATAACAAAACACGAGATAGATTCAATTTTCAATAGGTGCAAATTTGCAGTAAAAAACTAGAAATATAAAAAGTGTCATCCAAACTATATATGGTAACAATTGCAAATCGTGAAGATAAAATTTATCAAAAAAATTAAATTATTTTTTAATTTATTTGAATTTGATATGGTTCTCGTGCAATTACCATTATCTTACCTTAGTGGTAACCTACCATGTAATAAAGTAATTCATTTATTAGACGTATAAGTTTTAGTTAAGCCTATGGTGGGTGACAGTCACATAAAGGTCGAGTGAGGACGCAGATCGAGGTTGTTCAAGTTAGATCAAAGCTGGTGATGCTCGATCAAAGGTCAATTGAATTAATTTGGATCAAGGAACAAGTGACATTATAGAGCTCTACACCATTAAGTTTTTGGATGTCATTGCACGTGCTCCACATCCACCTACTGTTGTAGTGTTGAGAGATGTCCTCCTCGGAGGGTGAACCCTCCAGCTATAGTCGGAACGACTCAAGATACAATGTCCATTTATGAGTCCTTCATCCTACCATACTAGATTGCCTAGGGTGAAATGACAATAAGAAAAACCTAACATGTATCATCTCTCTTTTTTTTTATCTCGATTAAACCAAAACATGTGCCGCTAAAAATATTCACCCGGTGTAACGCACGGGCATTCTTTCTAGTGGAAAACCAAATTTTGGGGATGAAACTTTAGGATTCTGTTGGCGATGCTCTTAGATGACATGCAAGTAACGATGGGGCATCCCTCGAGGATGAAAATTCATATCTCATATATTCCCAAGCACAAAGGTATGTTTAGAAATTCAAAAGGAACTATAATATTTGAATTGCATGCATTTGTGGTGATATGATACGCACCATGATATATACTGTGTTTTCATTAATTCTTGTATACAGAACTGTAAAAAGGATATGCGTAAGTCCAATTAAACTATATATACTCATCGAGCGAGCGGTAGGCATCATCGTGATGGCTGGCGACAGATGATAGGAAAGATCGTCTGGATATAGATTGTGCACGGCCGTGGTCCCTCGTTCCATGTCATGAGCATACAAAGCAGCTCTGTTGTTCAGCAACCAGTAATAATAGATGCAATTCGGTTTTAGGCCAGCTTCCTCCGCATCGAACGACGCTCCAATTCTATCTTGACCGATGAAAAACGACCTTCGTCCACCGAGCGACTTCACCTTCATCCATGTCGCTGATCCCTTCGCCGCCATGTAATCAAGCTTATAGACGCTGACGCGCGCAACGATCCGGAGGCATCGGATCGGGTATCTAAACCAAACGCAGTACAGCTCCCCGTCCGATTCCACAAGGTTAGTGGAGTTGGACGTGCACGCCACCGAGACGCCCTCCGCGGCGACCACGGTGACCACGGGCTCCTGCGACGACAGCTCGAGCACGGCGAGGCGGTGATCGACGAGGTCCACGAGGAGCTTGCTGCCGTCTACCGCCGTGAGCCGCCCTATCGCGCGGAGGACGTCGTCGCGGTGCTCGTGGTGAGGCGTGCCGGGCTGGAGGTACTCGTGCCTCGCCCATTGCTGGTCGTCTTCTTCTTCTGGTGGTGGTGGTGGTGGTTCGTCGGTGCCGTTGCCACGGCCGGCGGGCGCCGGACGGCAATGCCAGAGCACCGTGTCTTCTAGGTCGACGACGAGCACGACGCAGCCGGGGTCCGTGGGGCGGCGGCGCGACAGGAGGCACCGGCGCCGCCAGTGGTCTACGGCGAGGACGGTGCCGTCGTGGTCGGGCGACAGGCCGATCCTGGTGCCGGTGAAAGGGTCCCACAGGAAGGTCTCCGGAGAGCCGCGGCGCGCCATGAGCAGCCAGCCCTGCGGCGTGGCCCAGATTCGGTGGTCTCTGACGAACGCGCTCCCCGGGTGAAGGCACGGAAGATGCAGCATCTCACCCCGTGGCAGGCTATACACGGACATGCCGTCGCCATCGTCGGCGGCGGCGGCGTGTCCCACTCCCAGCAGCAGCAGCGGAGCAAGCCGGCGATCCAATGCATCAGATGGCTTGTGGCCTGCCTCCATGAATTCGATCTCAATTTACTCCTCTTCTTGGTGTTTTTTTCCTGATAGAGGGTATGGCTGGTGAAACTGAAGCAAAAACTCATCAATATACATGTACGTATTCCATGATTTATAGTAACAGAGATTTGTTTCCATGTCGTAAGTAAGAGGTGTCCGGAGGAAACACGAAAAGAAAGCAGCATAATACGCGGCATGCAACACACGTATAACAGAAAAGGGAAACACTAATCATCTCTTAAGGGAATATCCCCTCATTTTTCATGTAGCTTAAAAAGTCATCAAATTTTTTTTAAAAAAATCAAGATAGATCAATATGTGATATATCACTTCACAAATATGCATGTTCAAATTCAAATTATACAATTAGAAAAAAAACAACAAATTTGATATTGAATATAACACGTAATTCGCAGTTAAATTTATTATTTTTGTTTCGAATTGTATAAGATGAGATTTAACTTGCATGTTTGCCGAAAGATATATCATATATTTATTTATCTTAATATTTTTTTTAAAAAAATTAATGCCTTTTTAAATGATATGTACAAAATGAGAGGATATCCCCTCGAGGGATAAAAATCCATCGACATCTCCAAATGAAAGAGAGAGAGAGAAGAATTCCTCCCTCTCGATCTCCCTCCTCGAGGCCTCGACCAATCCTGCACACCGCACGTGCGCTGGTGTTGAACGATCTAGAAAGCAAAAGATGGAGCCGACGAGCTTCCTCGGGTTGTTTTTATTTTTGCTGATTCGCGTTGATTAGGGGAAACGGAAATAGGAGATCGAGTGGATAAAAAACACTCAACCAAATTTTGGAGATTAAGAAAGATTCGACTGGATTTGATGGGGAGGGTCAGCTCCGCATTGTACAAGCACGAGACTGTTGTTCGGAGGACGCTACGAAAACGGGTGGGTCTGGCTTGACAGCTTGCAGGTAATTTTCAGAGCAATATATTAGCTCCGGTAGTGGGCACAATTACATAAATGTAATGAAGATGGAGAGTTCCTGATTGTTGCATATCGTAGGCTTGAAACGACGGTTATGCAACTTTTTTCTAATTATGGATGGAGATTCACCAATAGACCGGAATAATGTTCTCCTTGTCCTGTTCGGTTTTCTTCTATTTTGGTTTTGTCACGCCCCGAATGTCACGCCCGGAAATTCACTAGTAATTTCCGAACTTATTTGTGCATAAAATCCTCGTCCAGGAATCAACCGAGGTACACAAATTGACAATTTAATATACAGATTCATCAAATTAACTAAAACGATAAATACTTACTTAAGAGGCACTTAGTCCTCACCAAGAAGAAAACTGCAGCGGAAAATAAAATCTAGCGAAGCTCCGGCTCCACTCCCACAGGCAGCTCAACTGGGGTATAAGCCAAACGTCTTCTCCTTCTGAATTCTTTTTCTTCAACTGAGGTTGATCGATTATTGCAAGAATGAGCATATGACATACTCAGCAAGCCACACAGCAAATATGCAAGTGCACAAAGATACCAAAGGATGGCATAATATAGGTTCATTTGCAAAAGCAGCATTTAGCAAAACTTTTAAGAGAAGTAAAAACAGTGGAGTGATTAATCAGAAATTTTAATCAACACTGAACAGCACACCCATGCTGCACAGGCCCAACCATCCTGAACAACCATACCCGGCTGTACAGATCTAACTCCAAACCAGGAGCTAAGCAAATTATTACCAGGTATAACATCCATAATTATTGTGAGAGGTGTGGGACTAATCACGAAAAACATTGTTCAACTCGCCCATAACCGCGGGCACGGCTATTCGAATAGTTTTACTCTGGCCAGAGGTGTACCACTGTACCCACAAGACACAGCCCCACATCATGTCACCATGTGCCTCAGTACCACCACGGTACCTCGGAAAGGGGCTGTGACAATACCCCTTGCACAACACAATCCACCACAGCGCACCTTTCCTGGATCATAATCACCCCCTCAA